GTGTGTTGACAGTATCATTTTTCTAAGAGATGAGTAAGTCCATTTAGTGGTTTCCAGGTTGTAAGTATCTTGATTACTAAGGAGCAGAGGGATGCTGAGTCTGACCAGTGGAAACAAGTGATTGATAGTTTCCTGGTAACAGCCCTGCCTTCCTTTTCTCCTGCATGGCTCATTATTCCACAGCATTAATTTAAGCTTTCCAATTGCACTGAATCAGGGGCTTTAGTTCCCTTACCATCCCTATGGGAAACTTGATGGTTTATTTGTAGATGGTGATAATTGTTTTTATTGATCCCCAAATATGGGAGTTGTATACTCTGCTATGGCTGAAGGCCAGCTGGTCCATAGTGCCACATGCATGAGTGACAAGTTACAACATCATATGTGTCCCAGAAGAGACTTAAGAATTTCTAAGGCAATTGATGCCTACCCCAGATCTCTGCACATTGAGATATATGAACAGGTCCACGTACACCAGTACTGTGGTTTTTGTAGTTGTCATTATTGAACCTTAAAAGGTCTGCATAGATTTGATTTACACTCACTTCTGAACACAGCTTGCAGCCACACAGGGGCCTGCAAGTGGCACCCTTATATGAATTACCAGAGCCAGCCCAACAAAGGCCAGTGAGTGCCTCCAAGGCAGTGATTCTCAACCTGTGGGTCACAACCCCCATAGCAGATATCCTGAATATCAGATATTTTCATTATAATTTATGACAATAGCAAAATTACAATTATGAAGTAGCAATGGAATAATTTTAAGGTTGAGGTTACAACACGAGGAACTGTATTAAAGGGTCACAACATTAGGAAGGTTGAGAACCACTGCTCTAAGGCCTCAGATCCCCAGGCTGTTGTTTTGGAAGTGCTCCTGGGTTTAGCTATCACCTGTATTTTTTTCAGGTTGAACATCTTAGAGGAACAGTAACTCACAGTATTTGGGAAGAAGCCCCTGTGAAAACCCTAGAGTGTTCTGTAGGTAGGAAACTTCATGACATGTCAAGTCTCAAAATGCCAGAGATGTTAAGGGAAAATAGTGTCACCGTCTAATTAAGCCCAGGTTTTTAGGACAGGGCACTAGGGCAGTAGGCCCCTTCCCCATGTAAATCAAGCACAACACACAATGTTGGGGAAGCTTTGGGGCTAATTAGTATGGGCTGTCTACCTGGAAATGAATCAGGTCAGGCCTAAAAGGAACTGGATATCATAAATGTGGTTTTTCAAGTCCTTATTATTTGGTAAAGTGGGAAGGTTTTTGGACAGATGCTAAACTTTAAAACTCCTGCCCCTCTTCTCCTGGGTAATATACATACCATGATGGCTGTGCCCTGCATCCCTGTGAGGACTCACTTTTGAATGCTTATTGTCAAAGTCTCAGAAATGACTGGGCTGGACCAGAAGAAGGCAGGACAGCTTACTGGCACTTTCGAGTTCCAGATATTGCACAAAGGACCCTCCTTTATCCTGAGCTAGGCTGTCTTCCGGGTACCCTATTTATCCTGAGATACAGTGGAAGGAACGCATCGAAAGAAGGACTGTATGTTTCAATTTCTATTTATTTTCATAGAGATTCAAGTTTGCTCTCAATGCCCTGGTCTCATGATACTCTTTCTTGCATCCTCTGTGACCAGTTTTTGTTGAAATGGAGACACAGAGCACCTCTTCTAAAAGCCTTAGTCATGGTGTCTACCCCCACCACAAAGTTTAGTTCTTTGTTTAGTTCTCTCTTCTCACATACACCCCAGACATTGACATCATACCCCTTGTGCCAGTGAGCCTAACTGATCATGGAATTCATATGCTTGCCAACTGTATTCATCAACACACATGCAGCATGGTGCAGAGCTCACTGGTGAAGGCTTGAAAATGGAAAAAAAAATGCTCTCTGGTGACCCAGAATCACTTGATTTTAAAATTGGAAGTAACTTCAGATATGACTGAGTTCAATCATCTCACTTAGAAACAAGGCCACTGACTCAAAGAGGCTATGTGAACTGTCAATAGCACTCCATTCCAACCAGTGGTCAAGTTGACTTGTGAGACAGGTATGTTTATGTCAACCTACATTCCACTGTGTTCTGACTGTAACACTGTAACCTGTCAGGGTTTTGGTGTGTTGTTTTAGATGGTAACCATTGTGTTAATATAGTGTCTCTCCCTATCAGATCATACCTGCTTGTAGTACAGTCAGTGAAGTATTTCCCCCCAAAATTATAAACAAATACTATGTTTGAGTCTGACAAATATAAGCATCCAAACAAATACAACCAATTCTAACAAAAGCTGTGACTTTAGGTATCCCTATCTGTGCCTGGTTGAGCTACTAATGAAGAAGTATGGAAAGGATATAAAATAGGCAAAAAATTGGAAGAATCAAGAAGAAAGGCAAGCATATAACCCAGTAAGAACAACGGCCATGCAAATTCAGTACACCAACAGAATATAAAATATTTTGGAAACATTAGGTTATAACACTCACATCTTCTGATCCTGCTTTCAAATAAATGGGTTGCTTCCTTGATGCTCCTGAGACCCTGGAATACAGAACATCTTCTAGCTAACCCATGTACTAAGAACGTAGTCTATAGTCTTTCTGTCCTCCAGGTGACCCCTTCCCACTCATGGAGCACACATTCCACACTTCTACATCACTGCTAGTTCTATCCCATAGAAAAGTATAGACAACTCAATGGACTAGTCTCTGGAATACATGGTCCTCAGTGTCCATAGGTTCTGGATCCCTGGGTTCTATCAACTGTAGATCCAAATACTTTCCTCCACTATGTGGAGGGAATTGTACCAGTATAAACCATTAACAGACTATTCCTAAATAATACCGTATTTCAACTATATAGTGACTATATTAGTTATAACTAACCTAGAGGAGGCCTGAAACATTTGGGAGAATGTGTGTAGGTACTATTAAAATGCTTCTCCATTATACCAGAGGCTGAATATTTGGATAGGTATGGGGATCCTGGTTCCAATCTCCCACAGACATAGAGGTCCAACTGTATTCTTCACATGGAAAACATGCACACACACACACACACACACACACACACACACACACACACACACACACACACACACCGATTATTAAGTAGAAGCAGCTCTAACTCAGAGACAAGATAGCTGAGAGGCTATGGGTGGGTTTTATTGGCCTCATCTTGAGAATCACACACAGGTTCAAAAAATAATTTTAAAAAATGAATCATCAGCCGGGCGGTGGTGGCGCACGCCTTTAATCCCAGCACTCGGGAGGCAGAGCCAGGCGGATCTCTGTGAGTTCGAGGCCAGCCTGGGCTACCAAGTGAGTTCCAGGAAAAGGCGCAAAGCTACACAGAGAAACCCTGTCTCGAAAAACCAAAAAAAAAAAAAAAAAAAAAAAAGAATCATCACCTCCCTCTATGAGTGCATGTAATTCCTGAAATGTTGGCATATTCTGGGTTGGCACTAGTCAGGAAGGAAGGAGGGGTTCTATTTCAGACCTGTGGATGGCATCATGTTAAGGGCTTAGATCCATAGTAGTGGGTTCTGGACCTGTGGCTGGAGGCCGGCTGCAGCTGGAGTGGTGATGGATGTGTTAGCGGTGGATGAACAGGCTGCAGTCCCACCAGTCCTGAGTCCAGAGGGGAGGCTGCCACACAGCTGCCAGACGACTTGGGGCAATCTGCTTGCCTCTGCAGGAAGAGACGTCAGGAGGGAGACAGCCGAGCCTTTTGGATGAATTAGCTCGGCTTGGCTGAGGACAGATACAGAGATCCATCCTGGACCATTGGCCTTTGGCAGGCCCCCACAGTCTGCACTGTCTGATTAAATCATCCCCAGCCCCATTGCTGTCACACACACACACACACACACACACACACACACACACACACACACACGGCTTTGGCTCACTTCCATGTTTGGGATGTACCTGTGCTATTTGGTCTTCCTAAAGTATTTTCTCTGCCATGGTCTGCATGGCCTTGTCCTCTCTCCCAACCCCCAACTCATATCACCATCATCACAGAGGCAATCCCTGAGAAACTTTACAGAGCACCTGGATGTAAATCTAATCTTCCAGTCAGCATACATGCGTTGTAACTTCTCTGTTTATAGCATCTGTATGAGTGATTGGCACATTATAGGTGTCCAGTAATCTGTGTCCATGAGGCCAGAGCCATGTCTTAAGAAGCAGCTTGTCTCCTGATGCCGGCAAGTGTGTTTAGGAAAACATTTGGATACTTTCATGGACCAGGTTCACCAACACTGTATCTACTTTACATGTAGAATCCAAAGTTGGGCTGCAGATCAGCACACATCCACATATGCACACATCCACATACGCACACATCCACATATGCACACAATCACATACCCACACATCCACATATGCACACAATCACATGCCCACACACCCACATATGCACACAATCACATCCACATATGCACACAATCACATACCCACATATCCACATATACACACAATCACATGCCCACACACCCACATATGCACACAATCACATACACATACCCACACATCCACATACCCACACAAATATAATTTTAAAATATGTAATAGAACCTAAGGAGACTCTGAGAAGGTACTGTGGCCAGGAAAGCAACACATCATTATCATTCAGTGCTCATCAGAGCTTTAAGCAACTTTCAGAAAAACCTGTCTTCTGATATACACCCCTAATTTGTGTCTAATGGAAAACCAAATAAATTATTTTTCACCTGCAGGGAGCAGGATTATTGACTTAGGGTATTTGCCATATGGCTTCTCTTCCACCCAGCATAGCTTTGAGGCTTAAGGTAGAAAGAATAAGAGTGTGCCCATAAATTATTCAGAGATAATTCAGAATAAGTGTGTATCCTTGACAGATTGTCAGGTTTCGCAGCACTCCCCTGATAACGGGTGCTATGTTCTTGATAACGTATGGCTTGTTCCTAACTACACTTCCTCGTCACTCTGCATTTTGTTTTACCCGTTTCTGTCCCTCCAGGGTGCAGTCTGGCTCCTATCTCAGCACCGGGTGGTTTACCTTCATCCTGGCCATGGATGCCTGTTACAGTATCCACGTCTACGGGATGATAAACGACACCTACTGCAAGTAAGATCACAGGAAATTACTTCCATGCAGCCCCAATTCTGAGACCGTGTCAAAATATCACAATTCATTGTACTGCCATAAATCTGAGAAATAGATCAGATGACAATTACTTCCGGTGTTCTTTGCCAACATGGCATGTTCTTGTCAGTGTGTCATGTTCTGACTTTTAAGAGTGATAGAAAGAAAACAATGTGTACTGCAGCCTAATGTCACACGCGAGAAGGAACACTTTTCCCTTAATCAGTTGCAGTCCAGGACTCGGGGCTTGAAAATCTAGAGAAAGTTTAGTGGTGATTTGATTTGCAAAATCAAGGCTGCCATGTCTATTTCCTCTGAGGGCTTGATGGACAGCTGTCAGTCAATGGTTCTGTTTGTTCACAGGGAAGAAAATGCCTTGATGCTTCAGAGAAGCATTAGGCTCAGCAGAGTTCCCGAGATTTTATTTTACTAGTGTGTGACTAATCTGCCAGATTCTTAAATGAGTGTGTGGTTGCTGGCAGGATTGCTTCTAATCAGATTGCCAGACTTGTGTTTCATGATGGTGGTGAAATACAGTTCTTCTACCAACCATTCCCACAATATGATTCAGAGAGCATTTAATCATACTGTTAAAATGTAACCCTGGGTCACAGTCTTCGTGAATAAACATTTGTACTATGACTGCTAAGTCTAAAGAACACAGATGAAACCCAAACTTCACCGTGAAAATTCAGTTTCCTTACCTCTCCAGGAGCATCGGGCTTTGTATGGTTTTGTTTCGTCCTATACCATCTCCTCTGAAAGTGGGCTGTGTGTTTGAATGTAATTAGTGTGATATGTAAATTGTATTTGATCTATTAGGGCACTAAGAACTGGTCCTGCTTCCTAAAAGCTTTCATCTGTAATAGCTTTTAACTGAGTCCGTTGATGGGGGTTGGTAAGTAAATGCGTTTACTGGGCACATAATGGATTCTTGTAAATGCCTGTCTCGTCCTTGGCTCAGTCTTCCCTCTCGTCTTGTTTCTTTTCCAGGACAGAAGGGTATAGAAAAGTCCCCTATCATTACTATGAGCAAGGGAAGGATGAGTGCAACGAGTATCTTCTCCACGAACACGCCCCACACGGGGGGCACAGGTTCATCACCGAGAAGACAGTGTTTGCCAAGTGGGCTGAGAAGCACAGAATAGTCTTTACACACCCAAACTGGACGGTGTCCTGATGCCATGTTTCCCGATGCTGACACTGCAGCTGTGCAGATGAAGGGCGGGCAAGGATGACCGTGACCATCACGGTCCTGAACATCCTCTGATGTGGATGCTGACTCTGCTAGTCATCTGAACTTGGCGTTCCGTGCGAGGGGGTCCTGTTCATTCTGTTCTTTCTGGTGGTTCAGCCCTACATATTGCACTTTATAACTCACCTAGAATCGAAGGCCAGTTTCACGACAGCTGTGACTAAAGAAAACAGGAAGATTGTCTTTCAAGATAGCTGCTCAGAATTCCTTAACGGAAGCTTCCGGAAGAGACCGATTTGGCCTCGTCAGGCAAGGTTACTGAGTGCTTGGGCAGCTCTACCACCTTGGAAAATGGTTGGCTACCAAACACTGTCCCAAGTCATTCTACCAGGGTGTAGATATCTTGCCACGGTTACTAGTTAGCCTGAGAGAGGGTAGGCATCTCTTTCTGATGTACCATCTTCCTTCCAGATGTCTCGGAGCTAAAGCCTCAGGCCGTCTACCTAATGTAGCAGTGAAGGCTTCACGTAATTCCTGTGTGTCAGGGTTACTGGACTACGGCAGACACTTGACTCAAAAAGTTTCACGTAGCAAACACTGAGAAGTTTTCACTCCCTGCTCCAAACAACACAACTAAACACGTTAGTACAATTCCCTACACTAGCGGTTAGTGATTCTTGGTTGAGTATTAAATACTAACGTGTTAGATATACAACTTCAACACTGTAATAACATATACTGTGAACATAACCAAAGGGTTTCCTCACTCCGCTTCAACACCCAATACCACAAAATGATACGCTTTGTAAAATCATGAAACAGGGAAAGCAAAACATATTTTTGCATTAATTTGTATCCTACCATATTCATAATATATATTTTTAAACTCAAATTTCTATTTTGTAAGCCCAAGGTGTGTCTATCCATATACATTATCAATGCCAGGTGCCAAACATTAGACATGAAAGATTCTTCATATCATTGAATCCAACCTGAGTTTTTGCCTTCGTGCGGTGGCTTGTCCCTTAGCACGCCGATGTTCTGCTCTAACAGTGAACTGGTGATGGGACAGGGAAACAGATCCCAAGGTGCTTCATCATCTGAGTCCCTTCACACATGCTGTACCACGTGACACCCATGACCACCTCGCTGGACATTCCGCCATCTCCAGCAGCTGATCCGCACTCTGTTAGCTGTGCTCATGTGTCCCAGGTTGCTCCACTTTAGACTGTCTACATAGAATAGCATTTATGTAAATGAGTAAATGATTGCGTTCTGTGCCAAATATAGCATAGCATACCAAGATTATGAAAAGTGGCCACAAGGATGGTTGTGTCGTAGATCAGTAGCCCTATAAGCTTAGATTTTTTTTTTTTTTTTTTTTTTTGGTCATTGGCTTCGAGGTCCAGGCGGTGGGAAGATGAGGGATTGGGAACAATGGAAGCAGAGAAATATAGTTTCCCGTCCCAGGCCCGAGGCAGCTTCATCTCTGTAGACTTGGTGATCCTTAGGTATTAGAGGTTGATTTTCTGAGACAGTACTAAGCATCCACAAATGTCTTGGCACAATGATTCAAAAGCCAGGCTGAGCTTAGTGTTTCAGAAGCTGGGAATAACAATACACCTCACCTGCAGAACCGTGGCAAGTCTTTCCTAGGACTGAGGATCCTGTCCTGCCCTCTTCTGCTCTTTTAAAACCCCACCTTCACCACTGGAGAGAGGTTGATGATTCTTTTGTCATTTGCATTGTGAATTTCAGTTCTGTGAATGTTAGTTTTTTTAGAGTGGATAGTGGATTAAAATGCCCACTTAAAGAAAAATAAATAATACCCATGCTAAAATTCTAATGTGAATTGTTGTTTTTCCTCTATTGTGATACAGAAGTTCTGCTTTTATATAAAAGAACCCCTCAGTTAATCAGAATGCGTCCGGGAATGGCATGGCTGATTTACGCCATTGTCTGGTTAGTGGAGGCCCGCTCTATGCTTGGTGCTTACTGATGAGAAACTCCAGGGCTTCCTCTCCTTCTTCCTATAGCTTTTCCTCATGGGGACTTTGGCAAGACCCCCTTCCCTCACACTGTGTGGCAAAGGCAGGCTTTGGTAGAATGGGGTGGCTCTCCCCTCTCCTCCCCTCCCTTTCTCCACTCTCCTCCTCCCTTACTCTCTTCTCCTCTCCCACATCCCCTCCTCCCTCCTCCCTCCTCCTTCCTTCTTGTTTTCTCTCTGTAGGAAACAAAAAGCATTTTATGGAGACCCCGTTGAATTCCTTTGCAATCAGGGCTTTGACAGACTCCGGATTTGCTTTTCTCTGTAGTAATAATTTTCTCTGCTTCCATTTCCTGTTCCTTTCTTCCAGCCTCAGTTCTGATAGAAATGCAAAGTCTAATCTCTCCCATGTGGAGAAGTTTTCTGTCTTGGACTTGCTGAGAGAGGCAAAGGGGTGATTCAAGGAGAGCATCTGTCATGCACAGTTCCAGTCAGTTCCGCAGGTTCTAGTCCACTGAAAGGTTATCCACATCCAAACACTAGGAAAGTTAAATGACCTCACTGAGCACTGGTACACAGCTATCCTATATATTAATGTTTGTGAAGATATGTTTTGGTATCATCTAAGGCACCAGGCGAATGGTCTATGGAAAATGAATATAGATGTCTGCAATCAGCATACACGCTTGCAGTTCACAATCACAGGCCAGGTCTGGAAGGGTTCCGCAGGCCAGAGCACTTGCTGCGCTTCAGGACACCCAGCTTTGGTTCCCAGTGATTCCCAGCACCCATATTAGGGAGTCACAACTGCCTGTAACTCCAGTTCCAGCTGACCCAGTGACCTCTTCTGGCCTCTGTGGCCACCCACATACTCAAGATATACACACACATACACACATATGCATATACATAAATAAAAGTAATAAAAATAAATCTTTAAACCATATCAATAAAATGACTCCTAATGACATATTACCATGTCCATAGATCATTAGCTCCTGAATCTTCCCCAGAGCTTTTCTTTCAGCTAATGGGAATTAACACAGAGACCCACAACTGGACAGTGTGCGGAGAGTGAGACTTTGGAGCACTCAGTCCTAAGACATATTTTTAAGTAAAGTCATAGAATAGTATTTCTAATTTTTTGGAAATCTTGAAAAACCAAGGGAAAAGTTAGAGGATTTTAAAATCCTTTGAAGTTAGCCTATCTATAAGTCATATTGATGTGCAGTTGTATGATGAAAAATGATTTTGTATTGGTGACAAAACTATCAAAGACAAAATGATAAGTAATTTGAGGTTATGTTTGTATATAGAACATGGAGTCCATTTGCGAATGTGATATATGAACAGGTATATGCATACATATATACTTATAACTATATGTGAAAGCATACATATGATTCTGTATTCTTTGGCTATGTGTGACTCACAGAAAACTCTATTTTTGACTTTATCTGAAATCTGTTGGGTTTCATTTTGAATCCTGATAAGAAAAAAAAAAAAAACTAACATCCAAGGTAAATGGACTGATTGCTAAACATATATAAGCCATTTTCAGATGGCTGGCCAGAGGAGCAAACCCAGAGAAGATTCTAGAACTGGTGATACAGTCAGTGGACAGCTGTCACCAAGTAGACATGTAAGTAGAGCAGTCTGTGTCAGCAGACTCTGCCATCCGCAGCTCAGAGAAAGTCACACTGAGGAACGCTGCAGCCCCCTTCATGCGGCCAACATGAACACTGGTCCTCCTGAGGCCGCTCTTGGGTTTTCATGACTTCTGGTGCACAGCCATAGTGCTGTGGCTGCTGTGGGGGAGGGGTCACTGTGCAAGGAGGCTGCTCTCTGAAGTCTGGGTGTGGACTGGAGACCTGCTGACCTCCACAGGAGGATACAGCCCTCAGAAAGACTCCCTCATGGCCTTCTTGGAAAAAGAGACAACACTTTTACTTCACCTGGTAGGATTAATTGGATGTTAACTGTGAGATCAGTTTAATTCTGAGAAGCAAGAAGATGTAAACGTATGGTTTACATTTTTTGTCTCACACAAGCACTGAATATGCCCTGTCAAGTGAAAGGCTCAACTGCATTGTCCGGGGGCAGTTGGCATACTGTAGGACATGTGAATCGCAATCCCAAGACAAGGAAAGGGACTGACTCATCCTTAACTGCATTTCTAACTGGTGAGAGTTGACCATTTGATTCTGTTTGTGAAGGGATCCCATGACTTCAGGAGCCAGTGGTCAGCTTTCTAAGCAGACTGGAATACAGAGACGAAAGCACCTCAAAAAGCAGCCAACCTCGCCCTGTAGCCTGCAGTCCAGGAACCAGATTGATGGAAGTGACGGCAGCTCAACCTTGACTGTAAGGCAGTCTGATAACAGTCCTGACACCCCAGATCTTGTCTCCTGTCTCTCTAATGCACTTCCCATTGTGTGCTTAGAAACACTGAGTAATTACTGGGGGAAATGCATATGTGGCTCACTAAAAGAATCTACCGCAGGAAACCAAGGCTCCACTGGAATGGGGCCGCTCCCTGTTCTGAACGGTACAGTTGTCTTGTACACCTCGGGGCAGCCCTCCAGTGCTGGCCTGTCTGCTCCAGCCTCCACATGTGTTGTTAACACCAGCAGTGTTCTAGTGTCCTGAGATGTTGAGACTCATATGGAGAACACAAAGGTGCATTTCTTACTTCCTGTTTGTCACTGAGGGTGATCAGGCCTTGGTATCTGAGGAGCTGCTTGGTGATGGAGACTACTTGCTAACCTGGAAGGCCCTCCCTGCTCTTGACTTGGACTCAGAGCAGAACAGTCCTCATCCTCAAACCAGTTCAGCTGCATGGGTTAGTACATGTTTGCGGCCACATATACCAATGTATATAAACACCCGATGTGCCACAAGATCTGATCAGTATGCACAACTTGAAAGTCCACTTCTATGGTACTGTTACAAGTGGAGAATTTTGAAACTATGTGCATCAAGCACTATTCAAATGGTTCCCGTGGCTCAGAAGTAGTGTTCTGTTTTGCTGTTGCCTTTGCTGACCATAGAGACACCACCAGAATAAAACTGCATGTAAATTGCAAAGCCATTGAAACAGAGCTGTCCTTGGGCATTGTAACAGCACAGAAAACCTCATTTCGTTGTTTCTAAGTCCTTTACTTTTTTTCCTTTTCTTTTCAGAATAGGCACAAAATTGTTTTTGAGGTAGGAAAGTGCCTCTTTCTCTACAAATAGGTCTCTTCTTGTTCATGCATTACAGACTGCGGTAAAACAGGAGCTCGTCTCCATGAAGGTGAAGAGCGTTCGATGAATAAATAGCCAAGTGCCACATCCCATATTTGCTGACATATTGAGCAGTTTCTTCTAAGAAACTTCAAAGGGATCGAAACCTGGACATTGATAGACCCTTGTTTCCCAGCCTGCCTCAAAGTGCTCATTTCCTTGTGTTTAACGTCACTGTCACTGGCATTGAGTAAATACCAGTTCTGTTATGCGTGGTATATTTATGCTTCACTCATGCTTCTTTGAGGGTCACATGATCTTTGCTGTAGATGCTTATTCACTTTTGAGACCCGTAATCTTCATTGACCTAGAGAGGAGGCCGGGATGCACAGTGGTGTGCTGGTAAGGGACTTTGTCTCCTGGAGTCACATTGCTTTTTTATACACATCTTAGAATGAAGCTTACAGGTTAGCAAAGGACAATCAGCAGGTTTTAGCTGGTTTTTACAACAGGGAAAATGGGGATGGGTTAGCAAAGCTGAAAGAAACAGCGACTGGGGTACTCAATACACTCTATATTTAAAGCAGAAAGACATCCAGGGTAGGATGGCCCACATAGCAAGAGAAGGCTTTGCCAGCCTGTGGAATTTCTGGAGTTCACTTGAACTGCATGAGTTACTTTTCCTATCACTGTGTTTAGATAGCTGATGAAGCCTTAGGAGGAAGGTTTGGGGGCTCAAAGAGGAGTGAAGTCTATCCTGGCAGCCAAGGCATCACATCAAGAGCAATTTGGTCCAGGATGGTGAGTGTAAAGCAGAGAAGAGGAATTCAGGCACAGCGGGCTTTCTTCTCCTCAGCCCATGCAATGGTGCCACCATGCTCAGGCTGGTGCTGTGAGATGTCTTTCTATATGCTATGACTATGTGTGGCTCCCACTGGATAATAAGTAAAGCTGTTTTGGCCTATGGCAAGAAAGCTTACAGCCAGGCAGGAAATCTAAGTAGAGATACAGAGAGAAGAAGGGCGGAGTCAAGAGAGACACCAGCCTGCTGCCAAAGGAGCAACAAGATGCCAGCAGACCAGTAACACCATGGCAACGTGGCAACATACAGATGCGTAGGAATAGGTTAATTTAAGATGAAAGAGCTAGCTATCAGAAGCTGAAGCCATAGGCCATACAGTCTGCAATTAATATAAGCCTCTGTGTAATTATTTTATAACTGGCTGTGGGACTGCAGGTGGGAGAGATTCATCCCGACCACAGAGCCAGGCAGGAAACAGAAATTTCCCTTTACAGGTTGGGTCTTTCCTCCTAAGGACAGCTCTCTGGAAACACGCTTGCCATCATGCAGAGAGGTGCGACTCATTAATGCCTTTGGTGTTCCTTAAGCCAATCCAGCTGGCAGCCGGAATTTGTGATCGCACTGTGAGATGCTAAGCTACAGTTCCTTTCTTGCTTTGCCAGGCTTATTAACAGTCAGTTTAGTGCAAAGCTGCTTACAGCGGAGACCTTCTTCTGCCTTCCTTGCCCCTACCTTCCATCCCCCCTGTCTCTCTTGTTGCCCTTATTTTCTTTTATTCAAACTCTACATATGTGCTGCTGGGTGTCATGTTTAGATAGTTTTTCATTTTACACGTCAGCTTACTTGATCAACTCTGTGGGAGACCATGTTTGGATGGTATCTCCAAGTAAGAGTCTACTTTGGGAATCAATAACTTATGCACATCAGCTGGTTAAAGGGCTGAGTATTTGCGCCAAGCCCTACCCCCCCCACCCCCCCACCCCCGCTATTCTGTGAGGTACACACTGTTATTGTCATTTTACAGGAAAAGTTGAAGCATAAAGAAGTATTGCAGTTTGCCCAAGTTCAGACAAGGAGTGATGACATCAGTTCTGAAAAAAAAAGCAATTCTGCACAAATTATATGTGCAGTCACAGTAGTCTAAAAGATGTGACAAGAATCCCAGCATTCCAGCGGCCTAACAGAATAAGTTGGTTTCCGTCTAAATTATGAACTCTGTACATATGGTGCTCTACAACCAGTTTGCCTCCATGGGACTCACACTTCCATCCTGTGTATTTGTCCCTCTCCAATTCCTTGGAGTCCCTTCTGTTGGACCCATTAGTGCAGAAAGAGTAAGAGAGATCTGTGTCAGGAGTTTCTATGGGAAGGTTTGAAAGCACCAGATTTCACTCCATCCCACCGGCTGGGTTCAGCCAGGGTCTCTACCTAGTTGGACAAGACAGTCTATTTGTGGCTACTATGAATACTTGTAAAACATTGAAAAATTCTAAGAAAAAATTCTCTGCATAGAAAGAGAATAAACTGTGGGTGGGTGGCAGAGGGGTAGTCTTGATCTAATTTCAATTAAGACAAGAAGGGAGAAGGCTTTTGTCTGAGGAAGCCAAGAGAGCAACTGCTGAGCTAGCAATGCTGAACCAACAGCAGATGATGCCTGAGTGACATTACAGCAAGATGCTGGTACCCACCTCTGATCAAACCTCCTTCTTGCCTATTGCTTTGTAAGAGTCACAAAGATGAGCATCCTGTTTGCTCTTTGGATCTATGCAGTAAGTACTGTGAATTTATGTTTTAACTGAAAAATGTAATGTTTGGTTCTTAAACCTTAAACTTGACAATCTCTCCCCCTTTGTCTTTGCTTTTCTTATTATGTGAAGTTGTATAAAAGGAATGCTAATCTGCCATAAGTAGTCCTGTCATCCTCAAGACCAGATCTGTTTCTAAGAAGAGAAGACATTTTTCTTTCTCTCTCAATTATTTGCTTCCTTTCCCAACCCTTTTTCTTTTTTGTTAACCATCCAACCTTATTTTCTTGAATCTGCCTGGACATGCTTTCCCTTAACATAAAGAGCATCTTGCATCTCAATGTTCTTTCTCGCCTAACAGGAAGTCTGTCATCTTGGGGAAAAGTGCTTTGAGTGTTAGCATATAAATAATCTTAGTTTGCCCAGGAGAGATTAACTGAAAGTCTAAAAGCAAAATGAGAGAAAAGAGTCTTCAGATGTTTGCCTTCTTTCAGAACAGAGTGGAGTTCTTTGGATGGGACCCCGCAGTGCCTGATGTTGCCTAGTGTGAATGGAGGACATGAGAGGGAAGCCTCTTCTAGGAGCTGTAACCTTGATGAGGGCAAGCTGTGGTTGCTCTGTTTAACAAGGATGGGAACATCATTGGTGGGAACATCGCTCTCTATGTGTCTTCAGCTGTGATTCTTGAATATACCAGCATTTGATGTAGAGACGCAGCACCTCCCACTAGGTATTACGTGTTCTCCTACCTATAATTGAGAACCTTCCCCTAATGCCATTTTCCATGTCTAGAATAGCACTTGATAATCTGTATAATCTTCTTCTAAAACTTTTCACAAAATGCTTACATTTCCTCCAGAACTATGACACCTATCAAGAAATTTGCATAATATGGTCTTTCACCTTGAGTGATAGCTTTACTTCAAATTCCAGCACTTTGGCCAAAACATCTTTTGTGGAAGCTGATTGTGATGGCTCTACTCCCCCCCAAAGAGAGGGGAAAATGTCACATTCTGTTGGAGTAAAGGGTATTAATGTCAGGAAATGATTTAATGTATTAAAAATATATCTGTAATCATGCAGAGCTATGAATGGCTGCTGAGTATGGAAGAAAAAAGATAAAAATATTCAAAAGTGCAATATGAATTCAATGAGACTGAGTGACATTTGATAGTAATAAAAATAAAACTGAGGTACTTAGGTTCAAAAGAGACAAGAACCTGATAATATTAGTGTTCATCAGAAGTACCTGGAAACTTTAGACTATTCTAATAGGAGACACCATTGGGAAGGCCACCAACCCTCCAAGATCCAGAAAAAGAATCTAAGAGCAAACAGAAAGAAGAACCATGAGGTACGAGGGGTCATTCCATGAAAGGTCAAACTATTGGATATATTTTTGACATTTTTTTTCATTTCTCAGTAATATATTTTCATTATTGGATACAATATAAAAGACAGGAAAAGATGATGACCACTACTACACTGTCCTGTATGTGTGATGTGAGTATATGGTCGTGGTCTATAACCCACTTTGTCTTGTTAGTAAGAAATTGCAAGTGTTTCTCCTGATGTCATTAAATTCTCCTAAAACATCTTCAGGAACAGTGCTTGGTCATAGGTTTAATTTCTCTCCCTTCTCATTTTCTATATGTGGCAAACAGCACTGTTGAGGAATCTTTGAACGTCTGTCCTGTACCACATACTGTGGTCCCTGCTGTCTCAAACCTTTTCAAAGAATGGCACTTTTTCATCCTTGCCAACTTCATATATGCAAAGAAGTTGTCTTTTAATTAGCGTCTAATTTATTACTATGGAAATTACATGTTTGCATATATATTGGTAATTTACATTTCTTCTTTCATGAATCTGCCCTTCTTGTTTTTCTTTTTCCTTAATTTTTCTACTACAAGTACTGGGAGTCACTGCAATTTAAAGCCACATACAAATGAAATTTACTCAAAAGCAAAGGTACAGGTTCATACTGGCCATGGTCATGAGGGAAGAAAACATTATATTGCATCACAGTTGGAAACACTAGAAGTGTAAGGGACATTGTGCAGGTCCAGCATTGGTTTTCAACTCTGTGACTGGACTAGGCAGAACCAGAGCCAATGAGTGACATTCCAGACCTCATCTCGGACTCATTTGAAGAGTCCAAAATCAGTGTGGACTTTTAGAAGGATGAAACTATGTGAAATATTCTTCAGTAACTCCTGTGACTAGATGCTTGGACTTAGGCCCCTGAGCCTTCTTCTAGAAGCCTCCCTGGTTCTCTGATTAAACTGTCAACCTCTATGAGGAAAGGCAAGATTCAGAAGCTCAGCAAAGCTCAAGCCTGAGAAGGTTAGGTGCTTGGAGAGTTGTGTCAGCAGCAGCAGAGTCTGGCATTGTCTCTGCCTAGTTCACTCTGCTTGTGTTCAGAGCTCAGTCCTGGATTTCTGACACTTGAAAGATGGTTTGTGGACACATTCACACACCACAACCACCAAGCACTAACATCATCCCCCCAGCTCTTCCATTGCCTGGCCCTGACTATATTCCCATGATGCTCCATACAGTGTACATTCTTGGCGTCTCAGTGAAAGAAATTTATCCACATTTCATACGTCTGTATTTTTATATACTTACTATTGTGATATGTCTTTAAATGTAATGGCTCAGGAAAATTACCCCTAGTTCCCTAGTATTCTTCATTTTGGAAATTTATGATAATGGATGC